AGGGCATTGGTTTGGGATGAAGTGTCACAGGAATGTTGTGTAAGAGTCTTGGGGGCATTGGGTTTGGGGCCATCAGAAGTACAGGCTGGTCAAGGAACACAGGGAGAGGGAGCAGGGGATGTTTGTGTAACCCACCCACCTATTGGGTGTGATTCACTGTCCCCATGTAGTGGCACTTAGACCACTTACAGTGAGAGATCAGAAATGAGTGAGCTCTACAGCCTAAACTGAGAGCCAGCTGGTTTTATAGCTCAAGCTGTAGAGGCTCCTACACTAAGCTCCCAGAGGTTCAAATCCACCTGGTGGTGATGTTGGACTGGGGTCAAGGGCAAAGAGAGCATTGAGTCTCAGTTACAAGGACTGTTGCATTGGGGTACAAGGAAGGGGTATCAGAGTCAGGATTTGAGGAGTGTTTGGTTTGAATCAAAGGGTGCAGGGAGAATTAGGTCAGGGACATGGGAGTAGTGGGCCAGCCAGGATACCTGGGGGCACTGGGCAGGGAGGTAGGGTGTCTGGTATTGACTGTGTGTGTGTGTGTGTGTGTGCGTGCGCGCACGCGTTTTCTCAACAAGTTTGGTCCCCCGTTTGTTTTTGTTTTGTTGGGGTTTTTTTGCTTAACAAGTTCAGTCCCTCAATCAATTTTTTCCTGCCATGTTCGGTATTTTTTGTGAAAGTACCTGGAAACCCTAGTAGAAGGCATGGGGCTGTTGGGTCAGGAGCCTGGGAATCACTGGATCAGATGATATGGGACACTGAGCAGGCGCATAGGGAGCAATGTGTTGGAGGTGCAGGAGGCAATTGCCAAGCAGGGTCATCCCTACTAGTGCTGGTGCCCTATGCAACCCAACGATGGCACTAGCACCTCACCCTGAGTGGCTGCTTTGCATAGGGAGGCTGAAGCTGTGAGAAAAGGGGTTACCAACTCTCCTGGACCAGATGCCATTTACTGCAATTGCATCCAGTCTGGGAGATTTGGCAATACACACAGGAGCAGGGCTGGGAGGGAGGCGCAGGCCAGAACAGCAGTGGGCAGTTACACAGCCAGCAGGAGAGAAGTGGCACTTTTAATGGGAAAGAGCTGCTTCTCTCCAACTCCCCCCTGCTCTGTGTCCTCCATCCCCGAGAGTGCCACTTGGTGAGTGGGCACTGAGCCCTGTGGGAGATGGGACATGGGGCTGCCGGTGCCCCTTGAGGAGCAGTTAGAGGGCTGCCAGAGCCTCAGGACTGAATCTGTGGGGCAGGGACTGCTGGAGCCCATAGGATCATAGGCCCATTTGGTGTCCTAAATTTTGGGGTGCTCTGTGCAGCTGCATGTTTTGCATTTAGATAGGGAGGCCCCTGCGGCCAAGGGGACATTGGGCCAGGTGAAGGGAGCCAGGTGTTGGGATGAGGTCAGGGGTTACAGGCAGGCAATGCAAGGATGTTGGGAAGGGGGCGAATATAGGCTGAGTGACAAGATGGAGGAGTCATTCACCCCATAGCATGGGCCACGGGGACGGGTCCAGAGGGAAGAGCTTGAGCAGCGGGAGGCGCCTCTCTTGGCGCCCATACCGATGTGGAGAGATGTTGGACTCTCACGCTACGACCAATCAGAGGAGCACTGTCCTCGCGCCGACCGTTGGTCGCGAGCTCGACCGTTAGACACGCTCACCCATCTCTCGCTCTCGCTCTCGCTCGCGCGCGCCGGTTATGCGCAGTTCTGCGCTTGCGCAACATGTCCTCTTTTTTTTCCCCCATATGCTTTTGGCTTTGCGCCTGCGTACAGCATCCCTCACGGTCCCCCTTCCCCTTCCCTCTCCGTCCGCGGGCTCCACGCAGGCGCAGTGCGTGCTTACCGACCGTTCTCTTTTCCCCCTTCGCCCCCTCCCCCTGGTGGGTTCCCCCCTCCCGCGGATTTGTGAGGAGTCGGTGGGGTCCCGCTTGTCGCCGCCATGGGGGTGAGTGAGGCCCGGGTCAGGGTCCCCTAGCCCTGGCGGAGGGTCCAGGCCGGAGAGGGAGAGCAGAGGCCTAGGGTCAGGCGGGGTGATCCATGAGGGGCTGGGAGGAAGGAAAGGTGCAGGTGGTTCTGGGGGGAGCATCCCTGCAGGGGTCGTGAGAGGGTCTGGCGCTGGGGGTCCATGGAGGGTGCGAGGGAAGCCCATGAAGTGTCACTGAGGAGTAGTTGCGGGTCCAGCGGTGGGAGAATTGGAGGGGGAGCACACAGCAGGGAGTGTCCATAGGGGCGACTTGGGAGGGACATGCGGGGTCTGTGTGGTGGGAGCTGGTGGGGG